GATTAGTTAAACTTGCTCATTTAGAATTCATGACCTGGCTAGTGACAACACTGACTTCAGCTTCTTAATCCTTTAAAAATCTCTTATCTTGTTTTGACATTTGGTCTCTTCTCTCAGTGAAAAGTGCTGCCATTTTAAATTCCAAAAAATTTTTGTAAGGTAAATGGTGATATAAGGTAGTGGCTTTGTGTGTGTGTGTGTGTGTGTGTGTTTGGTCAGTTCCAGGAATTGCAGTTTAAAAGTTATGAAGTAATTTAAATATACACAAATTAGAGAGAATAGTGCAGTGAGCCCATCACCCAGATTAAGTAATTACCAGAATTCTGCCACATTTGCTGCAGTCACGTCTTTCATCTTGTTTTATTCTTTGCTGAAGCACTTTGCAGCAAATTCCAGGAATCCTGTCATTTTCCCCTGCATACTTCAGCAGGCATGTCTGAAAAATCGGGGCAGTCCTTTCATCAGGTTTCAGCTTGACCCACATGCTTGTTAAGTACCCACTGTGTGTCAGGCATCCGCTAGGCGTTCAGGCTCCTCGGGTGAATAAGACAGTCCTGCCTGCCGAGGGAGCTAAGGATCGCTGGGAGAAGCAGGTGCAGAGCGCACAGGGACATGGCAGGACCTGCCAGGTGATGCCCGTGGGCCCGAAGCTGTGCACGATGCCTTGGGAGTACCCCGAAAGAAGGGGCCAGCTGTGTGGGGCAGCACAGGGTGGGGATCAGGAAGGGCTCTTGGGGGGGTTCCTTTGATCGGAGTCTTTTCCCAGCTTTTCTGCAGCCCCCAGGGCCTTGGGCGCACAATGGCCTGTGGTAACCTGTTCTGGATTCCTGTTACCATGTCATCTTCATGAAGGATTTTAAGGTGGCAAGTGTTTAAAAGTTGTAATTGTTGCCGAAAAGAAAATGGAATAAATGACTCTAAAATTCTGCGATTTTTACGGAGATGCTTTTCAGTGGCTGTGCAACTGATCCCCCCACCTTTAATTTCAAACATGATGAATTATTTTGGAAGGAGCAGCCATGAAAGTCCACCTTTTTTAAATTTAGCTATCTGCTTCTCTGCCCTTTCCTTATGCTTTAGAGAAACGTTGTGTTTCTTAATTTAATGTCCTTGATGGTCAGTAACAAAGGCCCATCACATGTCAGTATTTTCTTGGGGAAAAAAAAAGTATGTCTGTAACCCAAATACATGCCACAGAAAACATAATCTCTGGTTCTAACATTATTATGATTTCAAAGTGGGTTATTTTTTAAATTGTATCTCTGCAGAGAAAATCTAGAACATTTTTTAATGTGTGGGAAAATATCGCCTAACAGTTCTTTCGGTATGTAAACACAGGGGCCATATTTTTGTTGTGCTTTGAGTTTGATGTTTGGGGTGTTTGTCTTTAAATCACCAAGTTTTACACATTGCGTTGAGCATATTTCTGAAAAAGGCTCGTCCCTTCTGTCCTGGAGCCGCCACGCCCTCTGCAGGCGCTTCCGTGACGCTCTGTCGCTGTCGCTGTCGTTGCAGGTGCGCACCGGGGCTGGGCCGCTGTCCAGGTGCGCCTGCTGCACGAGCTGGTCTACGCGTCCCGAAGGATGGGCAACCCCGCCCTTTCTGTCAGGCACCTGTCCTTCCTGCTGCAGACCATGCTGGACTTCCTGTCGGATCAAGGTGAGTGCCTGCCGACTGTGGCTTCCCCAGGGACTGTGCAGGAGCACACTTGGTGTTGCTCGCAAGGCCCCGGGCTTGGGTTTGGTGGGTGATGTCCCCAGTTCTCTGCTGGTAAGAAGCCTCCATGTTCCAGCAGGTCCTTGGCTCCCTGTGCCACCCTGACTCACCTCCCTGGGTGCCCAGTGACACTGCCCACCGTGCCCCCTGCTGACCCCATGCCTGCTCCCCCCGCTGCTCCCCACTGGCTCCCTCCACTCCGTGTGCCCACCGTGCCCCCCTGCTGACCCCATGCCTGCCCCCCCGCTGCTCCCCACTGGCTCCCTCCACTCCATGTGCCCACCATGCCCCCCTGCTGACCCCATGCCTGCTCTCCCCGCTGCTCCCCACTGGCTCCCTCCACTCCATGTGCCCACCGTGCCCCCCTGCTGACCCCATGCCTGCCCCCCCGCTGCTCCCCACTGGCTCCCTCCACTCCGTGTGCCCACCGTGCCATCCTGTATCTCCTCCCTGGGCGCTCTCTCACCCGACTCTGCTGTTCCCTTCTGCCTGTCCGCCTCCTGTGGGCTCCCTGTGCCTCCACCTACATTGTATTAGATGCACATGTCACAGCAGGACATGATACAGAGAAGTGTGCATGTCATGAGGACACAGCCCAGGGAGTTTTCTCAGAGGCCACTCCTGTCACAGCATCCACATTGGAAATGTGGCCAGAATCCCAGGGCCCACTTTGTGTCCCTTCCGGTCACTGCTCCCCTCAGGGGTGACTTCTGCCTCGCCTTCCACCACTGCAGACATGGCCCTGTGTTTGCACCGATGGCGTCTTGTAGGCTCTTCTGTCTACGTGTCATGGCCGCTTCTGGGTCCTTCCTTGGTCCTCGTCTCACACCGTGGCTGAGCATCATTTGCTTTTGGGGTTTTGGTCATACTCCGCTGATTTCCAACCTGGCCTCCTCCCTGGCCCTGATATGCTAATTTTGCTGCCGGCAGGGCCCCACTATGTCCCCTGCAGGCGCTGAGGATCCTACAGCCAGAGGGGGCTCAGTCAGGTTTTCTGCCTGCGTTGCTCTGCTGCGGGCTGGGTGCTGTGACGCGCCTTCTGCTGAGGAGATGGACATGCGGTGCTCTTGCGTCAACAGCCGCGAAGGGAAGAGATGGAGGCAGGCTGGGGCAAAGGGGAGCCGAGCCCCAGCTGGCCCACTGCGTGCCTCAGCCGGCACAGGCCTGCGCAGTCCCCCTGCATCGAACGGGGGCTCTGCCTGCCTGCTCCCTCACTGGCCGGGAACGCAGTTACCCTGGGGAGGGGGTGGTTTCTGAAGAGGACTCTCAGCAGCTTGGGGGGTCGGGCCTCAGCAGAAGCAATGGGACCTCTGAAGCTGGGACGGTCCTCCGAAGAGGCGTCCTGCTGTGTGGGGAGGGGCTAGGACCCTGTACCCATTTACCCCCCGTCGGGTGCACGCTGCTCCCAGGAAGGGGCAAGACCAGGCATGAGGCAGCTCTCTCCAGCTGGGCACAGTCTGGAGAGGGCAGCGCTGTGTCGGCTGGGGAGTCGGTCATTCTGCCCGGTGGCAGGTCACTGTGTACTACAGTGCCCCCGTCAGACCAGGGTGCCCGGGGGGCCTCAGACAGCTCAGGCACCCCACGCCGTCACGTCCGCATCCTGGCGTTTGCCAGCTTTGTGCTTCTCTGCCTTCATGTCTTTAAGGTCAGTATGTATTTCCCTCCTTGTCTTTTTGCCTGTTGCTGTCCCCTGGCTGTGCCCCCTGCATTGTCGTCTCCTCCTTGGCCCCAGAATAGGAGTGGCTTGTTGCTAAGAAGGCCTCTCTTCCCAGTAGCACCTGCTGAAACTCCAGCTTTCTTTAAAGCAGGTGGTGATTTTCCTGTCGTGACTCCCAAGGCCATCTGTGAGGAGTGAACTCCCGTAGCACCTCGTTGCTAATGTCCTCACTTACTGCCAGTTGTGGCTCTTTGTATCCTCCGTGTGGAGGAGCTGCCATCTTCTTTCAGGACTTTAGGTGCCCCACGCGGGTCACTGCCCGGATGGTGGTGCCAGCAGAGGGCAGCCCGGCTTCTGCTCTTGTGTTTTGGTTTCCACGCCTTTCATGTCGCATCTGGATTGTGTTCGTCTTCGTGCTGCCCGTGGTTTGGAGGTCGAGCAGAAGGCTCCGCATCAGGCTGCTGGATGAGTGGTGCGCACCGGGGCCTTCTCTGAAGGGAGACAGAGCAGAGAACGCCGCCTCCCAGGACAGGGCGTCTCTCGCCCTGGTGACCGGGGCACGGGCTGGTCTGTCGCTCACTGTATTGAACCTTTGTGTTCTGATTGGTGACTGGCTCTCCCTGCGCTCCCACCTGCTGCTGGCCCCCTGCAATGTCTTGAACACCGCCCCACCCCGTGACCTAGCCCTTGTGGGGACACAGAGCCCAGCGCAGTGTCCAGTCTGAGCGGCCTCTGCTCCCTGGCCTTGGACTTCTGAGTGCCAGCCTGCCCCATGGCACTCCTCTCTCTCTCTTGGTGCCGCCCTCCCCGCTTGCCTTACATTGGGGTGTGCACAGTTCCACGCCTGTCAGTCATGATGCCACGGCCCCTGCGGCCCCCAGAGCTGCTCACACCACTGCCTGCCTCACCAGCCTCTTCGTGGGCTGTTTCATCTGAAACACACATCCTCCTTCCTGGGGCAGGGCCTCCTCCCATCACCAAGTGGACCCCCAGTGTGCACTTGCTCTCGGAGGCCGTCCACAAGTCCCCAGCGAGCCCGGGCCCTGCCACTCACATGTGTCCCAGTGTGGGAGGATCTGTTGGTGGGCGTCTAGTTGGTGCCGGGCTTCCCTTCAGACGCCCCTGAGAGGGGGGACTTGCTGCTTACTTGGGGTCCTATGAATTAGTGATCAGAAGACACTCAGTTTGAAAGGAGAGGTGCTGGGGACGTTCGACGCCATTGAACAGAAGCGGCCGTCTCCTTAAAGGCCCACGTGTAATGGTACTTGGCTAACTGGAGTCTTCTGGGAGAAGGACAGAAGTCAGGCCGTCTAGAGGGCTCTCTCCCCTGACCTCACCCGTGATTACCATGACCTCAGATCCACATCAAGTTCTTCCTGGGCTTCCATTTTCTCATTTGTATGATGACGATGTTACAGATTGTGTGGTAGTTTGTTATTTTAATGTAGGTATTTTAATTTGCGGGATGACCTTGCTTCTGGAGAGCATATGGTGCTGTCCATAGAGCTGATAATTAACATTCCTGAATATGGCTGAACTGAAATTAAATGTGGAGTAGAAGGGCCGCCAAGCAAGGGAAAAGATCACCAGGCTCAAGGGGGGTCTCTGTCCACCGTGTCAACGCGAACCTGGGGGTTATTTGCAGGCAAAGACGGCCTCACCTGGGGTTTCTTGCCCAGCCCCTCCCCGAACAGGTTCTCTGACGTGTGCAGATACGAGTGAACTCCCAAGAGAAGGTGTGACGGCAGGTGTTCACACGGAAAGGCTCTCAGTTCCCCCGGGGTTCTGTCATTTTTTGTAAGACAGAAAAGTATTAGCTTGAGGCTTATGGACTTTTCTTGGGAGAGATGATTGTGTTACTTTTTATGATGATTGATCCAGGGTCACCCCTGTTGAGGCTTCCCGCCTGGGCACACGATGCATGCTTCTGGGGCATCACGGAGGTGGACTGACAGCTCCAGGCCTGGAGCCATGTGGAGGAGCAACCCGGCTTCATGAGTCGGGGTGGGAACGTTGGTGCCCCTGTCTTCCCCCTCCCAAGGTCCCCTGTGCTCTGGCCACCGTGTTTCGACAGTTCTTGGACAACAGCATTTCCATTCTGCCTGGGTGCAGGCCACTCCGCCTGCCCGCGTGGCCCCCCGTGTCCGCCAGGGTGTCTGGGAGGCTCTCACCCGCCCCTGGACGCAGCCCTGCGCCTGCTGCCCCCACCGGCCGAGGCTTCTGGGTGGGGGGCCGGCCTGGCTCCTGCCCGCTGCACCAGGACGCGCCGCCCAGACTGGGAGCAGCAGCCACCCCGCAGGCCCACGGGGAACCCCCACTGCTGTGCTGTCACCTTGATGGTTCTTCTCACTGGCCGGTTTAGCAATCTGTCCGCGGCTTTTGATGCCCTGCACGAGGCATCTGCACACGGCTGCCTGGAGCCCAGGCCTGGCCCGCCCCCGAGTTTGATCCTTGCGTTCGTTGGCTTGCCCAGGCTGAGGGTACCGCTGACACCCATTTCTGTGGAAAGTAACACTCGCTGCTTTGACGTCAAATCGTCAAAGAGGGAGCACGAGGCAAGGGGAGCTGGCCAGACTGTCTCGGGGATTCAGATCCGAAGTCCCAGGGGAGGGATGGGGGGCCCTGCCCCGGTGTGCCGCCCAGTGCTGTGCGGTGACAGGTCCCCCACGGTCGGGGCCTCCTTGGGGGCCGCGGTGACGGATGCTGGCGGGCCTGCCCGGGACCTGAGCAGGCCACAGGAGGGGCCCGCGTTGGGGCGTCCTGGTTCCAGTGTTTCTGCCGTCAGAACGGTTTCCGAGAGCGCCGTGTGTGCGCTGTAGTGGCAGTGCTGTGCCCGTGGGATGGGAACGTCACGTGGCCGCCTGGGCTTGTCCCTGCTGGGAGCGAGGGGACTTTGTGTGCTTGTCTTGTGGCTCAGCGTTTTGCTGGAGGACTCTGGGTAGATGGTGTTTCCCTGAGAATCTGTCCAAGCTCATCCACCGGCAGGGTTATGGTAGGATCAGAGGGACTGTACCTGAGGCACATGGCAGTGTGTCTGACACAAAGAGGTGCTTAACTAATGTCCTAAGTCTGTGCTGTTTTCCCCCTGGGGGACCAGGACGCCAGCTCCTTGGTCCCGGTTGGGTGGTTCTTCTGCCCAAGGTACCTCAAGGGGACCCGGAGGGGGAAATGGAGTCTCTTGCAAGGAAATTGCAGAATGACCCCAGAGGGCTAATAGGTGTGCATACTGTTCTTCCCCAAGATGCGCAAATATTCTTCTAATTTGTGTTCTATTTGATAACTAACA